CTCCTGCACCGGGCAGCCCACCGGCTCCCCCGCCGCCGCCGCGCCCCCCGCCGCGCCCTCCTGCGACGTCTGGCTGACGTAGACCACGATGATGTCGCCCTTGAAGTTCATCACCTGGCCGCTGGAAATGAACGTGGAGTTACTGTTTCCAGTCACATTTCCTGCAGTGGGGGGACAGAGAGAACACGGAGAGGCTGAGTCAGCGTTTCTTGGTGGGGACCCGGTCTTGTGACAGGGAAGTTTCCAGTGAGTCGAGGGCCGATGGCGCCCCGTTCCTCTCGCAGGCCGTGCCAGCAGCGGCCTCTCGTCACCCTTGCGGCTCCTGCAGTGCCACAGGGCACGTCCTGTCGTTCCTTGTGGAACCGCAGTGGTCACCTCACCAGGCCTGAGGCAGAGGCGGGAGGGAGAAGGAGGAGAAAAGAAGAAAGAGAAAAGACAGCGTGAGAAGGAAGAGAAGCAAGCCTGATGGAGAGGAGAGGAGCAAACTCTGTGGGTCATGGGCCACACGCCTCGTTCGCCTGTCACGTGGGACTCTGGGAACACTGGCAGGACAGCACACCTGGATTGCAGCATCACAGACAAGATTCAGATGCTGCAAAAGTGTGTGTGTGTGAGTTGGGCATAGCTAATGGGCCATCTGTGGTCACTGAGCAGACCTCAGTCCGCCTTCCTGTGTGACTGGCCTCCCGTCTGAGGCCTCTGTCACCCTGGGTGCCTTCATTCCTCCCACGTGCCATGGAGGTTCCGAACAGCTCAGCCCTGGAGGATCATGGGGACAAGTGGGCTCAATTTTTAGCAGAGCTTAATAAATTTCCTTAACATTAAAAAAAATTTACTCCTGGGAAAAAAGAGACTCAGAAAAAAATAAAATGGAAAAAAAAAAAATCCTATAAATCTCTCTTTCCTTCTGAACCCTGAAGGGTGTTTTGTGCCTAGGGAGTTGTAATCATCATTTCTTTGTGGGTGACTGGACATAGCCAGTCTTTCATTAATGGACCTTTTGAAAAACAAATAGGTCCACAAATGTTAGAAAACTTACTAACACATATTATTCTTCCATTTTAAAGACTCATGTTCTAGAAATATCCCAGGTGAAAGTAAGTGCCACAAACCCAGCAGATCTAGAAACTGCCCAACACTTGGCATCACGAACAGAATCTCTTAGTCTGACCAGGTGACACGAAAATCCAAATGGCCCCTCACTATTCCCCTCCCTTTTTTCTTCTCTTTCGTGACCCAGCTTAATAATAATTTATACAAATAAAATGAAGTTTCTGTCATCACTCCGTATGAGGAGATTTTCCCTAAAATTGGAAGTCATGTTTTGGACAGTCTAAGATATCAACAGGCATACAGGAAATTCCTTTGGGGTGACTTCCCCTGACACACGGGATACCTCTAGAGAAGCCAAGACTGAGGCTCAGCAAAAAAGCCCATGAAAACACATGGATTTCAAGTGAGAGCAACAAATCAAAAGTCACAAAGGGAGGTTTATGACTCACCTTATTTCTCCCATAGGCAGTTATATGGCGTATACTCCAAGATGGGTAGGTATTTATTGTTTAATAACCCCCTTAATCAACATGAGGGAGGCCAGTTGGTACTTTCATGTGCCAGCTAGCCATCACATTCTCCATTCCCTCTAAAATATACCAACAAGTGCTCATAACACACAGCGTACTCTAAGTGAGGGGTCTACACTCTAGTATGTCTACACCTTTCTGCTCCCACCAGTTACCAAGTTACTTCTCAAGTCTGTTTTTACCAGATAAACTCAGAAGAAAATTTAGTTAACTATCTATCATGTAAAGTGGTGAAATGTCTGTGTGAAAAAAATGGGAAATGTTTCTATGAAAACTAAAGTGAATGTTTTGCAAGGACCCAAATAAAAGTGACTAAAAAAAATCATATAAACACAAGAAAGCAGAAGACAACAACAAATTGCTTAACTGGTATAGTGATGTGGACAAGAAAAATATTTAAAAGAAAGAAAGAAAGAGAAAAAGAAACAGTATGGAGGTTCCTCAAGAAATTAAAAACAGGCCGGCCCCGTGGCGCACTGCTACAGTGCGCCGCTTGGAAGCGCGGCGGCACTCCCGCCGTGGGTTCGGATCCCACGTACAGACTGGCCGCTCACTGGCTGAGCAAGGTGTGGGTGCAACACCGAGGGTTGCGATCCCGTTGCCGGTCACGAAAAAAGACAAAAAGGAAAAAAAAAAAAAGAAATTAAAAACAGAAGTACCATATGATCCAGCAATCCTACTACTAAGTATGTATCCAAAGGAAATGAAATCAGTATGTCAAACAGACATCTGCACACCCATGTTTACTGCAGCACTATTCAAAATAGCCAAGATATGGAATCAATCTAAGTGTTCATCAGCAGATGAATGGATAAAGAAAATGTGGGATATTTACACAATGGAATACTATTTAGCCATGAGAAGGATTGAAATCCTGGCAATTGCATCAACATCAATGAGCCTGGAGGACATTATGTTAAGTGAAATAAGTCAGGCACCGAAACTCAAACAGCACATGATCTTACTCATATGTGGAATCTAAAAGTTGACCTCATTGAATAGAGAGTAAAGTAATGGTTACCAGAGACTAGGAAGGGTAGGGGGGAGGAGAGGATGGGGAGAGGTTGGTCAATAGGTAGAAAGTTACGGTTCAACAGAAGGAATAAGCTATAGTGTTCCATTGAACAGTCAGATGACTATAATTAACAAAATATATTATATATGTCAAAACAGCTAAAAAGAGGATTATGACAGTCCTCACCAAAAAGAAATAATAAATGTCTGAGAGGATGGATATGCTAGTTACCATAATTTGATTATTACACATAATATACATGTATTGAAACATCACACTGCACCCCGTAAATATGTACAATTATTGTCAATTAAAAATAAAAACATTTTTAAAACATCCCATATTTATTTAATAAAATCAGTAATTTTAAGTTGTTTAGAAGTATGATTTTTCTTACATACCTCCTCTACATTTTTATTATTACAACATCATCGATGCTGTTGTCCTTAGTGTAATATAAAACTACATAGAGGGTATCTCTAGCCACTGCATGATTGATTATGGTGTTGAATTTAATCTCCTCTCTTCTTTATCCTCTTCATATTTAGATTTATCTGTTTGTGTCATGGAATATATGATTTCTCCACCATTTAAAATTTTCATTTTCCAAAATAAATAAATAAAATAAAATGAAATACAATCTTTATTTTCCAGCAAATCATCATCATGAATCCATTGTTCTTTACTTCTTTCTTTTCAGCACTTTCAATGAGTCCGAGCCCAGATTAAAAAACCTATGTTTTTGGCATCATCTAGCACATCAAGATTTTGTGCAAAATCTTCAATCTCGAGAATTGCATTCCATGCAATTGCCCATGGAAAACAATATTTTTTATACTGATAATCCTTCAAATGCTATAGGACCCATACTCATTCTTGTTTTCTGTTTTTTTTTTTTTTTTCAAAATGGAACTCAAATCCTTTTGACTAAGTGATATATTTAAACATTTCAGAATCCTTTGATTCATAGACTGGCTCAAGAATATTATTCTTGCAGGGCCATGGTGGAGGAGAGGGGGAGGACAAAAACTAGGCCTTTAAATTCCTGACAATTAGGATGTAAAGAAAGAACATGAGATTCTCAAACAAGTTTATCCTTCAAGTGTTTCATTACTGCAGGTACAATTACTGACAAAAACAACCTTTGAGCAAGTCCATCTATGATGACTTTCTGACAGACAGTAAACTGGTACAGACCACACTTGTAAAAAAGATCTGCTGATTTGATTTGCCAATAGCAGTAAGTAGCAATTCACAAGTGGCAGCAGAGCGGTTGTCATGGGCGTGTGACCTGTGCAGTTGCTCAGGGCTTGCACTCGGAAGGGCCCCAGACTTGGCTGAATACTCCACTGTCATCATCTTGAAATTGTTATTAATTTTTGCACAAGGGGCCTCGCATTTTCATTTTTCACTGAGCTCTGCAAATTATGTTGCCAGTCCTGAGGGGCAAGCAGCTCTTAGAAATACTGGTTTGGATTTTTCTGCCATTGATGCTATACTTTAGCATCACTGCTTTTGGACGTAACATAAGTTGGACATGCCTCAATACTTTAGAAGTGTCTGCCAATCAAATTGTCTCTATTGATGATCTAAGTATTTGGTAAAGTGCTGAGCTGTAGAGGCTACCCACTGGTGCTCTTAAAATATGAATCGTATATGTATTCCTGATGTTCAAGCCATTTGCCACTTGCTGTAAAACTCTCAACACCAATTTTCTGATGTAGAACTGAGGCTGGTTCCTCTGAGAATGTATTGGTCCATTTCTGTTGCTTATAACAAAATATCTGAAAATGGGTGATTTGTGAAGAAAACAAAAGTTATTGCTTACAGTTTTGGAGGCTGGGAAGTCCAAAGTCCAGGGAACATATCTGGTGAGGGTCTTGGTGGTGGTGACAGTGACCCAAGGCTCTCACATAGCAGAAATGGCAGAGTAGAGAGAACAGAAAGATAGCTCCCCATGCACTCTCCTTTTAAAACCCTCAGAACCACGCCCATGACCACCACTTCTAATCTATTCATGGTCCTAATCACCTCTTCAAGGCTCCACTTTTCAATTACCGTAATAGGATTTCCCACTCTCAATGGTTACAGTGGGAATTAAGTTTTGGGGGGTGGAATGAATTGGTAATAACTTAATCCTACAATATACATCAGTTCTGAACTGCCCTTGCTAAAAGCAATAGTTTTTAAAATTTTCTTTCTACATTTCAGAAGAGAAAGACTTACAATGGTTACACAAACTGATCTGAGATGGCAAGACCCTGAGATGGCAACATAAACAGGTCACGGGGGAGGCAATCAGGCGGTGCTGTGGTCGCCATGGTTTCTGAAGTTGATACAAGGGGTAACTCATTCCATTGAGTTCCAAGAAATTCCCAGGATGTTCTGCTGTTAGTGGGGGCCCCTTCCTGATTGGTGGCTGGAAAGGGCATATGTAAAAGGATAGGGATGGCTTAGATGAAGCTTACCCAAGATGGCCTAAAAAGGCCCCAGGCTTAAAGACAAGTCACAGACGCAGGGAACATGTTTGCAAAAGCCATATCTGATAAAAGACTGTTACCCA